TTGTTAATTACTTTAAGCACATCATTACTAGTAATATTGATATTCATCAACATATTTTCTATACTGTCGTTATATACCTTATGAACTTCTGGAAACTGTGCTAAGTTTTCATTTGTGAATACAGAGCGAAAATGACTATTTAACGTACTACACATTTCTAACTCATCATCAGTCATTTCTCCTGTCGTAGTTTTAAGGGGACCTATTGTATCTCTAACCTTTGATTTATACAGTTGATAAAAAGCTTTGGGGTTATTTTTCGATTCGTTTGCTACCTTGATTTCATAATTTCTCTTTGCTTTCCCTAATTTCTGTTTTTACCTGTCTTGTTAGGTTCTAATAGTAACCAAGTAAGTGATTTTCGCCTTTCTTAACTTTTCTATATACTCCTTTCTTTTTCCCTAGAAGATCTAAGAGTCTATTATTCATCCATTTTGGTTGGTTCCGTATCGATCTGAATTTTCTTTTAGGGATGTGTTTATTTTGGGCATTATTGATTGTCGCAATAAATTGTTCATAAGTAGCTGCTAAATTAAATTCGGGGTTATCCCGTCCTAAGTTGACAGTTTCCGGAGGTGTGGGGGGATTAATCTTTTGACCATAGGGTCATCCCTTAGGTCTCTCCTTAAGCTACCGTAATTAGCCTTCCTAAAATCCGGGATCAAGGCCGAATTTTCCTTCTTCCTGCCATCCCATATTATGTTAAAATATATGGCTTTATGATCACTGTTTCCTAGTTCGTCTCCAATCCCAACATCTTTTACTAGATTTTCATTATTACTGAGAACTAAATCGAGGATATTATTTCCTCTAGTGGGCGAGTTTATGAATTGATATAAAAAACTATCTTGTACTACTTCTAGAAAATCTTCAGATTCATTATCGCTAAGTTGATTTTTCCAATCTATGCCTGAAAAGTTGAAATCGCCTAGAATACATACATTGTTTCTATCAGATGCCTTCTTTATTTCCTCCCATAGCAATTTACCATCGTTCCTACTCAAATTAGGTGGTCTATATATAACACCAATGACTACGGATTCACTGCCCTCACCAATCTCTACCCAAATACTTTCATTGTCGCTATTTGTTTTAATGTTTGATTTATTGCAGCTTTTTAATGACACCCTGATATACACTGCTACACCGCCACCTCTCCTTCCTACTCTGTCAAATTTAAATAGGTTATATCCTGGAATATGAAATTCTGCTAAAAAATGCTTGCTGTTTGAATTTATCCATGTTTCCGTTATTGCAATTATATCTATGTTCTCTTTACTAACAATGGCCCTGAGCTGGTCCATTTTGTTACACAGGCTTCTACTATTAGTATAATAAACACTCAATATGTTTCTTCCGTTTCTATCTGTTTTACATTTATTACTTTGATGTTTGTTATTATGACTAACTATATTTTCAGCATTATCTACTTCTGTTTCACTACTTCCCAGGACCTGCTTGTTTTTTTACTCCCATTTTCCCCGACCCGTCTCTACTGGCGAAACCCCCCCTTCGGAGTGACAATTTCACGCTCCAGGGATGCAGACAACGTCTTTACCCCCTCACGAGACAAGTGTACTCCGTCGCGACAGTACAGGTAGTCGTTGCCATAAAATCGTTGCCAGTCATCAATGAATGCCCAACCATTGTTTGCACAATGTTTTTCCAGTCGGCAATTAATAGCAATTGCCCTGGACAGCCATTCACGACCAACCCCTCTTCTAGGCAAGACACCACATACTATCGGGATCCCTCCCCTATCTCTAATTTTCCCCAGCGCCTCCCTATACCTCTTGAAAAGTTCCTCACTCCTAACCTTACCTATGTCGTTTCCTCCCACACTAAGACACACTACTGGATTGGTACCCTCCCCTGACAAAACTCTGTCTAACCTCTCGGCTACATGCCCTATCCCAGCCCCAGGAAAACATACCCTAGTCCTACGTTTCCTATCTCTCGCACAAAAAGCCCTATCCATAAACCTCACCTGGCTGTCACCAACTACCACGACCTTACCTGTGGGCAGGGTTTGTACAACTGCCCTTTCCTCTCCTTGATCCATACCGTCCTGCCTCTTCTCTTCCTCTCCAGCTTCCTGCAGCACCTGGTAAGGGTTACTGCACTCCACACCCTGGTCAGCTTTCCTAAGCCTGACCCTAGTCCCCTTGGAGACAACCACTCTCCACGCCTGCTCCTCCTTCGCAGGTGTCCTGCTAGGCAGGACACCTACCTGAAGGAGTTCCGTCCTGAGGGCTTCATTTTCCCCCTTTAGAGTGTCAACCTCACTCCTCAACTGCCCCAGCTGCCTTAACAGCGTGGCAAGGAGGTCGTCCTTCCCCACACTCCCCTCCTCTTCCCCCACGGCACAACGATCCAAAGCGGCCATTTTCCTTGGTCTCTAGCGGGAGCACGATCGGCACGACGGTTGAGTCATTTATTTGATCAGATTTAACTTGTATTTGTTTATTTTTGTACATACTGATATATTTATTTTATTGATTATTTGTTAATATATTCTGTTATTAAAACTACTGCATATATTTCAATATACCCCATAGTAATGAGGTGATAATTTGGTGGGATCTATTCCTGGACCTATAGTACAAAGTGTAATTTGTGAATTTGTGATATTGTTACACCCTTAAGAGGCCCAAGGGTCGTTACAAAATTGGCGACCTTGCCAGGATAGATCCCTTTTCACTCATTATCTATTGGGAATATTTAAATATCGGGAATCTTTATTGTTTAATCATGGCTACGTTTGATGTGGAGGAGTTTGTTGAAAATCCATCCGTAGAAATGTTGAAAGACAGTGTGTTACGAAAGGATGATTGGATGAAACTTGCTGATGCATATGAGATTGAGTATCGACGTAGTCAAAGAAAGTCTGAAATTAAAAATGCAGTATTAACTGAGCTTGTAAATGAAGAGGTGCTACCGAAGGGGGCACTGACTTTGCGTTCATTTGACCCCAGAGAAGCTGTAGAGATCAGAAAGCCAGCGTTTGCAATGTAAATAAACACCCCCCGGCATAATAACCACGCGAGTAAGATGACCCATAATGCATCAGCGAAGGTGGACAGGCTTATCAACCCTACCCTATATGGTCGCACACGGAGAAGATGTTCGAGCAATTAAAACTACCGCTTGAAGGAACAATTCCTACATGCGGGCTGTTTGTGGAAGAGGGAACGAGGGTAATTAAAACTCGGGCGGAAATCTCGTCAATAAGCAGTAGTGACGCAGTCATATGATACACCTGCGGATGTTCAAGCATTTAATGTTGTCAATCGTAGATGTCTTCCGTGTGTCGTGGGAGGGTATTACCAGTCAGAAAGGCAAATCCTTCAATTAGATTTTTTTATTAGCGCCACTGCAATTTGCATATCAAGGCCAATAGATAAAGCCTACTCACAGCACTGTCAACCACAGTCAAAACTTAGTTTGTCGTTTTCACTATGTACAATTCCGCTAAGAATTTCGTGAAACACTGGGTGTGGAGGGCGCATAGCCTGTTACACCCCCCCTGGATACATACCTGTACAGTGGAACTGACAAGGAAGCAGTTTGATTCGAACGAAGACTCATCAAAAAGAGATGGGAAGGATATTAATATGAATATTGGTCAACGTTACTGCTGATGGATGATGAAGATGTATTGTTATTCTGCTTACGAGAAGAAAACCATAGTGATAGGAGTTTACATTCGAATATCAGAATACAATGGGGAAAATCGGATGTGAATCAATAACCATAATTACTGAAATTGATGTTGAAATTGAAATACTTTGTTGACCATAAAACTATTACATCAGAAGGACAGGGTAATATACTACTCCGACCCTCACCTTTGCCATCTCCTTCTGGGGTTTACAAAAAGTTATAGATGTTAATACAATAATTATTTTTACATCACTGAAATAGTTCATTTTGGCATGAATGCTGTACTACTTTAAAAGAACAGATATTGTAATTCTACACACAATTAAATGTCATATCCTTGGAGCACAAATTCTTATACATCGCAAGAATTGCTTTAACTTTTCCATTTTTAATCATCCAACAAATTGTTTCGTTAAAGAAGTGATCTCACTGTTCCTGTATGGTTGTATTTTTTTACATCCTAATACATTTTACCATGATCCACTGTATCAAAGGTCTTTGATGGATATTTGCCGGACAACATTATAGCAGCAACAGCCAACGCTCCTGACGACAATATCCAATGGACGAGTTGTCGGTCGGAATTTTTTCGTAAGATGGCAGGTCACAGACTAGCGCGAGCCTGGAGACAGCCAGTTGTGGTGTATGTGTTGTTACCAGCAGAAATACAGGACTTGTGGTCATATACAATGTTGATATACACAGGCATACCTTATTTTTCGGGTAAAATAAATTACTGCTTAAGTATCATCGTGTGTATTTACTTGCTGGGTGCCAAAATGATGCACAATACCGATAACTCCAACATGGAAGTTTTCATCACT